TTAACTCAGGTGGGCTGAATACAAATGCAAGCCACACTTTTTTCAGATTTATTTGTAAAAAATTTATCATTTTCCTTCCACTTTACAATTATGTGCCTTTTTGTGTTGGTCTGTCACATAAAATCCCAATAAAATACATTTCCGTAATTGGCTGTAACATGACAAAATGTGGAAAATTTCAAGGGGTATGAATACTTTTTCAAGGCACTGTAAGACAGAAAACTCCTAGTGCTAGGTGTGGTGGAGCAGGCGTTTGAGAGAGAGAGACTTGTCTGAGTGTTGCTCATGTTCTAAAAGCTTCCAAACAACCAGAGTTGGAGCATGCTAATTTTGGGATAAATCCCGTATTTAAACTTCATGTTTCTTTTATTATCTTTGTGACTAAAGGGTTGGTCTCCAGGCTTTAGAGATTATTGAAGAAGGAAATGTATGTGGTAGGTTGGGGGAATAGTAGAGGATATGTGCTTGTGTCCTCACTTGTTTAGACAATTGGGTTCATCCTGAAAGTCCTGGATTGTGCTTCAGAAGATTCCCCATACAACCTCTATGATGAAGGCCTCATTTTTGGCATGGAGAAGATTGATTGTTATAGTGGATCCTTCAGGATCTTAATGGAGAGTGTTATAGGTTAAGCACTGTGTGCTTTAAATAAAACTATTTGCTGGAACTAGCAAAAAAGCAAATTTACAATTGGACATTTTTACACTCTGCCACTGTACTATATTTCTGGTGTTGCTCCTTTTAAAATTATATATTTCCTAAAACAAGTTTTTGTGCTTTTACATGTTCTTTCCCCCCTTAGCACACATTGCCGGTTTGATTATATAATTTTGCTGCTTTGCTGTTTAAAATTTCATTTTGGTTAGCTCCTGACGTTGCAATGATCATTGTGGAAGGTGATGTGCTTCTCCCCCTGGCAATTGCTCAGCAGTTTGTTGTTGTTATATATTTTTCCCTTCTAGAAGGTAGCGTGAGTGCTTCCTAAATCAGCAAGGACATGAAGGATTTCTGAGGTCTCCAGAGATCTGCTGAACTGTTCCTCTGAAAATAAAAACTCCTCATTGACATATAATTAGATATTATTGATCCTTGATTTAGTATGTGCACCTTCTGAAGTAATCTACAGCATTGCATCGTTAACAATTGGAATGGGCCGCCGAATGTAAAACCAACTCTACAATTAGTATTTTGAGCAGAATATGCTTAGTAGATATTTCATATGGATTAACAATTTCCAGATAAGATTATATCTTTAATAAATGTATCAATAGGAATTATTACCTATGGAATGTATGTTACCATTATGCAGACCAACAGGTGAACAAGACTGCAATCAAGCAATTGTTTTCGTTACATTCTGTACCTATATATTTGTCACATCAATACACATTGCTCAGCAGAGTACAGTTTGGATATGGCAATTCTTTATCATTTGTACAGACTTGATACCGTATGTATGCAGTGTACAGTATATGCAGCCACCTGTGGGAATCCACATGGAATCTGAAAACTCACTGGGAGTAGGACATTCCACGTATTAAGAGTTCCTCCACTATTGCTCTGATGTCCTAGTGCTGAGCAATTGCACCTTTCTGCATTATGAACAACCAGCATATGGTGCAACTAAACACATTGGAAGATGAGCTTCCATTTCAGGGATGTAACACTTTGCTTACTTCTCAATGAAGGCAATGCATTCTATGATTGGATGAGGTGGAGCAGTAGAGTTGTGCTTAAGGGTGATATACAATTCATATGAAAAAAAATCAGTCCATTCCAAGCTTAATGCTTTAAATTCTTTGAATAATGATGCAAAGTGTTATCTGAATGGCGCCCTGTTGTCGAGCAATGCACCCCCATGTTTTGTATACCATTATGCAGGAGAGCAAGCAGCTTAACTCGGTGGGCCCCCCCCCCACCCCCCCAGACTCCATTCAGCCCAGAACGTTTTTTACATTCTGCCAAATACCCCCCCCCAAACCCCCCCCCCCCCATGACCCCCTCCACTATTTCTAGCCCCAGACCCCCCAGTTTGGACCCCCCCCATGGCAATTTTTACATTTTACAGCTGATTATACCACCATGTACGTATGTAGCTGTATATGCCATACCTGTGGGAGCCCCCCCAGAATGGCCATCTGACCAGACCATCCCCACCCCCGGCCCCAGACCCCCCCAGCACCCTCACGAAAGACCCCTCCCACTAGCTTCCCCCCCAGGACCTGTGTCCCAGAGCCATTGCTCCTGTTGCCCCCCCCATTACCCAGCCCCCATCCCACAGTAAAAAACTTGCTTGGAGACCCCCCAGACCTTTCAGACCCCCCCCCCCCCCCCCCAGACACTTTGCTAATTCCTCCCCAGACCAGACAGACCCCAGACCCCCCCCCCCCCGCCCCCCATTCTCCCCCCCAGCCCCTCCCCCCCCAGATGAGCCCCCGCCCCCCCCCCCTGCACCCCCACCAGTATGAGTTGTGGTGCCCCCCCAGAACATCATGATCAGTCCATTCACAGACCCAGCAGACCCCCTGCTTTGCATTCCCATTGACCAGACCAGAAGCCCCCCCCAACCCCCCAGACCCCCCCCCCCCTCCCCCAGCCCCCCCTCTCCAGACATGGGCCTGTGTCCAGACCCACCCAGAACCCAGAACCCCTGCCTCCCCCTGATCCCCCCCCAGAGGGCAGCAGCTTAACTCGGGGGCCCAGAAGCTGGAGTAGATTTCAGCTTCAAGGTTTTCTTTTTCTTAAAGGCTTAGAAGCTGATTGGCTTTCCATGCACAGCATGCTGCACCAGATTTTTCCAAATGTCCAGTAGAGTTTTAGTTAAACAAATCACCCATATTGTATTCCCAAAATATATTTGGGGTTGATTTACTAAAGGCCATATATGCTATGCACTGCATGTGCAGTTGCTCTAGATATGAGGGGAACATGCAAGGAAAAAAAAAAAAACATCATTTTTGCTTGCACATGATTGGATGAAAAAGTTTCAGCAGAGCTTCCTGCCTGGATCTAAAGCAACTGCACTTGCAGTGCACTTGAAGTGCACAGCCTATTTGCCTTTAGTAAATCAACCCCACTTTTGTTTTACCCTTTTTCACTTTTTTATTGCTTCTGATTTCCTCCTTTTAAATCACTTCTTGCTTTCATTAACTTGCTCTAGTGTCAGTTGCATATGATTGCTGTGGACCAGCTTCCTGATAGTGACAGCAGTAGGCCATGCCTACCCAACATGTTATTGGCATGTCCTCTTGTAGTCTCCACCCTGGTGCAAATCACAGGGGTGACAGTGGAGGACTACAATTAGGAAACAATTGTTCACCACCTTGCAAAAAGGACCTTCATAGAAGGATAACCAGAATTATTTTGTTGAATACACAAGCAGCAGTTGCATGCCTTTTGATCAGGATGGGCTCCTCCTGGGGGATAACAATGAGCCTTGGCTTATAGATGCTTATATTGTCCACTGGAAGCCTATGTTTACAGGACAGCAATTGGGAGGGACATGACAGGAAATTCCTGAAAAAGGATCAAGGATCCTCATGGCTTTAGATATTTAAAAAAAATATATTGCAAATCACATGTAAAATCACATTAACATGTTAAAATGTAACTAAAGGTAAAATTTTTTTTTTTTAGTTTTGGATAGAGTGCGCGAGGGATTCAAACACCCGTAAGGGTTTATTGCTGTCTGTGTCCCATGTTATAGAGATTCACCCTCTCTAATTGATCATCGAAAACAACAAAAGTGGAATTAAAAAGAAAATCCCAAATTTAGGGTTTACACCTGAACAGTAATAGAGAGGAAATCTTCCAATAGAGAGACTAGTTCTGGTGACCCTGGTGACAGTCTGGGGAGATGGGATTTGCTCATTTTGGAGGGATTCTTTCGGACTTCCTGTTTGACTATGGGACAGAAAGCAAATGCAATATCTTCCCTATACTCGCAATATCCTATACCACTTATAGCGCCGCCCAAGACCCACAGCAATACAAGGGTGCAGGCTGTCTTACGCTTAATCCAGAAAGCAGTGTAGTATGAGGGGATGAGAGATGCCCGCACACCACTAGCTCAACAGGTGAAGAGAAATGTGAACGGCCTCAGCAATGAGCTCCTCTTATGAACCCCACCTCTGATTCGTTTTGCCCTGCCCATTAGGGATTTAATCTCTTCACCTGTTGAGCTAGTGGTGTGCAGCATCCAAAATGAAAAAAAAAAAATGCCTTTAGTTACACTTTAAATATGGTATAAGATTTTAGTGTTTGGGTTTACATATACTTCTTTAGGGCATGGGTGTCAAACTGGCGGCCCTCCAGATGTTGCCAAACTATAAGTCCCATGAGGCTTTGCAAGATTGACAGTTACAAGCATGACTCTCAAATGCAGAGGCATGATGGGACTTGTAGTTTTGCAACAGCTGGAGGGCCGCCAATTTGACACCCCTGCTTTAGGCCAAAAAAACCTATCTGAGTGAGTTTGGTAAATATAGGGTGCTGCCAACAATACAGGCAATAATGGGCTAGCTTAACCTCCTCGGCGGTATGATTATTCCGATTTTTTGTACTGAAAGCGGTACCATTTTTTTGCATGGAAATATGTAGTTTTTTATTGTAGGCCTGTAATTTTTAGGAATAACTCACTGAAATCTGTCCGAACAAGAGTCTAGTAAACATCCCGGGTAGGATAAAATTTGAAACACGAAATCATAAATTATAATTTAATAAATAATCATAAAAAATAATAATATAATAATAAATGTAATTCAATAATATAATCAAACCAAAAACACTGAAATTTGGAAATACAGAGGCAAATTCGCACATTGCTGAGCAAAGTCGCAAAATCGTTTTCAGTGTCTGATGACGAATTTCCCCACGAATCATTATCATTCAATTCTGCAAGTGGTTCTGATTTACTATCACTGTTCTCTAGCTGGTCTAAAACTGCTTTTGACGTAAAGGGACACTTTTTGGACGCCATGGACTTTTCTAAGTTTCCAAGCAGAAAGAACAGTCAAAATGCAGGCAGGGGACAGGACAAAGCACTAGGGACAAAATGTATGTGAAATGCATTGAAACAGCAATGTTTTACTATGTAATAATCATTTTTAAAAAAATGAAATTTTTTAAAAATTTCAAATTTGCCGCTGGTTCCGGTGCCCGTACGTCCCGACATCACAGGGACCGGAACACGGAAGCCGGATGCCGGCATCGGCCGGAGGAGATGGCCGGGGGACGCTGCAGGGGACACATCGTGGGAGCGAAGGACAAGGTAAGTGCTGCAGGGACTCCCTGAGCAACGCCGCATGGTAAGCCCGAGTGTAGCTCGGGGTTACCGCTCTTGGTACTCAAATTTTACCCCGAGCTACACTCGGGAATACCGCTAAGGAGGTTAAAGCATTGTACACTTTCAAATGTGTTTGTTGTTTTAACTAGGTATTATTGCTGCTGGGGTTGGGTCCCCCTAAGCTAGGCACGGCTAGGCAATGCACATTTTCTTCACTTCTCCGCATGCACAGAGTCAGTAAAACAGTCCTTGAGCTGTTTTTTTTGTTGCTTTTATTAAGGGTTTAATAACTTGGATGGGGTCTAGGGGTATATATGGGATGCCCAATGAACTGTAGAACGTGAGGACAACTTCTTAGCAATGATAATGTACAAAAATATGGACTAGCACTGTAGACCCTTTTCATTGTACCTCCTCAGACCTCCTCTTCACCTAACTGCACTGAGGGTATCCGTGAGCAAGAGGTACGTGACTGCCCTCTCCCCTTATGTGACCCGGTTGGTGTAGGAGTACTCACACTGTCCTTTCCTGGTAGGGTAATGGATTAGTGGCTGCCTTCAGGCCTTACGCTGGGCTGGCTCTTTCTCTACTAACAGGCTGTCCTCCCTAGGAGACTTTGAAACAGTAGAGATCTTCCTGTCCAGCATCCTATCTGTAGGTAGGATCCCCTTCATGAGTCTCCCTCCCAGACTCCACTCTCCAGCCTTCCTCTCAGCCCATCTTCCATCTGACTCTGCACACTATTCCCCAGGCTCTGTGATATTTATGGGTTATTCTGGTCATCATGCCCAGTCTCCTGCCAGGGAAGTGGCCAAGGTCCCTTAAACATGCATATCTGGGCCTCCTCCCCCCCGTTTCAGAAAATTCTCTCCGTTCCTGGAAAGGTGTGAGGGCTCAGAAGCCCTGACTTATAGAACCTCCCAGTCTATTCTGAGGTGAATTTCTGCCACACTCCCAGGCTGATTCATTCCAGGCTCCTACTCAGCCTCTACCTAAAAAATGGGGCCACTATTTCCTCCATGATACCACAACAAACCTATTTGGCTAAACCTAGAGGGGCTTTACAGTAGTTTAACCACTTGACTCTCTTCATGACCAGGCCATTCCTTTGCTATTCAGCACTGTGCTATTTGAACTGGCAATTGCTCATGCAGCATGCACCACTGCAACATTTGGTCATGCAACACTGTATCCAAATGAAATCTATATAATTTATTTACACAGAGTTTATTTTGGTGGTATTTAATCCCCACTTGTTTTTTTTTTTATTTTTTGCTATATAAATGAAAAAAAAATACAAAAAATTAAAAAAAAAAAAAACAAGTTCCTGTTTTAAAATGTTGCAAATAAATAATCTTTCTTAATATGGTATACAGTACATACTGCTCAGCATAAATGAGTAAATGAGTACATCCCTTTTGAAAAGTAAGATTGTAATCAATATCTCAATAAATAACAGAACAATTTCCAAAATGTTGACAAAACTGAGTTTTATAGAACATTTGTTTAGCTCATCACATGAAAGTAAGGTTAATAATATAACTTGGATTACAAAATCTTCAGTTTTACTCAAACTAGTTGATGCAAAATTGAATACACCCCACAACAAAAACTATTACATCTAGTATTTTGTATGACCTCCATGACTTGTAAGGACAGCACCAAGTCTTCTAGGCATGGAATGAGCAAGTTGGCGATATATTGTGACATCTATCTTTTTCCATTCCTCAAGAAATACCTACTTTAGACCCTGGATGCTAGATGGAGAATGATGCCCAACTTGTCTCTTCAGAATTCCCAATAGGCGTTCGATTGGGTTCAGATCAAGAGACATACTTGGGCACTAAATCACTTTCACCCTGTTCTTCTTCAGAAATGCAACAATGGCCTTAGATGTGTGTTTTGGATCTTTGTCTTGTTGGGAAAGTGCCATGACCAAGGGCAATGAGTGATGGTAGCATCTTCTTTTTCAAAATAGAGCAGTACATCTGTGAATTCATGATACCAGCAATTAAATGCAGTTCCCCGACACCAGCAGCACTTATGCAGCCCCACAGAAGGACACTGCCACCATCATGAGTCACTGTAGGCACCATGCATTTTTCTTTGTACTCCTTACCTTTGCCACAACATACAGTTTTGAAGCCATCAGTTCGAAAAACAATTATCTTGGTCTCATCACTCCAGAGTACAGAGTCCCAGTAGTCTTCTTGTTTTTTCAGCATGGACCCTGCCAAACTCTAGGTGGGCTTTTTTGTGCATGGGCTTTAGGAGAGGTTTGCTTTATGGATGACACCCATGCATGCCATTCCTCTGCAGTGTATGCCATATCGTGGCACGGGAAACAATTACCCCAGTTTTGCTCTATACTTCTTTAGCTGACTGCAGTGAACTTTCATTGCAATTTTCTTCAACTCTCCTCATCAGAAGATGCTCCTGCCGAGGTGTTAACTACTTTGGATGGCCTGGACGTCTCTGTGAGATGGTTGCAGTTCCATGTTTGTATCACTTTTGCTACAGTATTCTGATGACTGATAAGTAAAGCTTTTAAAATTTTCTTGTAGCCGTCACCTTTCTTGTGTAAAGAAATTCTTTTTCTTTCTCAGGCCTTGTTACATTTCTCTTTCATGTGGTGCCATTGCTGACAGCATGAAATGGGAAGGGGTTTTCATTGTTAAGCAATGCCCTTTTATAATCAACTGTCTGCTGGACACCTGTTTAATAAATAATTAGACTCCCCTATAGTTGAATTCTTGTTAATTAGGATTTTGTTGTCTAAAATTTAGCTTTGCTCCTAAGCCTTTCATTGGGGTGTATTCATTTTTGCAACATGGTCTTGAATTAATTTGTTAGAAAAAATACTTTTTTGTGTGTGTAAATGAACAAATCGTGTTTGCACTCAATGGCCTGCATTTGTGGGAGTATTTTGTAGTATAGTGTTCCATAGAAAATGTTGATTCTTAAAGGAAAGCAAAGGTTTTCTGACAACTTTGTTGGGGTGTACTCATTTATGCTTAGCACTGTATATTTGAAAATTGATCAGTCCTGATGGCCTATTTCATTTCTTGAGTACCTTAAAATGCCAAGACAGTACAAACACCCCCCAAATGACCCCTTTTTGGAAGACACTCCAAGGTATTTAGTAAGAGGCCTGACAAGTTTTTTGAAGTTGTAATTTTTTGTAAAATGAAGAACTTAAATACTTTTTTTTCACATTTTTTTTACATGCTATCACCAATGCAGTACAGCATCATCATATGATTGGTGTGGAGGTGATCATCAGGATACTGATTGGAGACTGTATGTATTATTCAATCTTTTCTTTTTTTTTCTTTGTTTACAATTTTTTTTTACACTATTATTGCTTATAAAAGTGATGACCACTGCTATAAACAATAGTTATGAATGGCTTTCATTCATGGCTTAGTGTTTACTATTGTGATTCTGTGATTGGTATCATATCATATGGTCAGTGCTCTAATTGACCCAGGTACCATGTGACCAATCACAGCATCACAACAGCAAGCAAAATGTCATGAATGAAATCCATTGATGATAGTTTGCTTACAAGTTATCATGTGATCTCTTTGATTGGACATAGCAATCACATGATACCCTGGCCACTCAGAGTGGCAGGGTACAGAGTGCCATGATCCACTGTGACCACTAGACACAGTGGTAATGATATTGCACCACTGTGCACCCCAGGGGAGCTTCTGCCTACTGGCAGTAAATCTACTGCTAGGGGGTGGCAAGTGATAAATTACCCTATGTGGATGTGTTAGTTCAGCTTGCTTGTCCCGAGTATCAGGCAACATTTTGCTCTGTGTCACAAAGCATCCAATGCTCACCATTTGCTCTCTGTTGCATCACAATTGTGGGAGTGCTAATGTGATGAAACAACTCTTCCAGCATGGTGAGATCTCTGTTAATTGCTCTGCCCACTTGTGTCTGTTTCAGGTCTAATTACTGTTTAGCTCTCACCTGCAGAGCACTAGACTGACAGACCCAGGGATTGTGGGATATGTAGTTGCATCAGAGAAAGTGTCAGACTACAGACTGAGGTCATGCATTAACCTGTGCACTGCCATTCTCCATGCCTCATGTTTGAACACAAAGAATAACTGTTGACACCAGAATGTGAAAATTTACTCTACTATAGGTTGTACTCATAAGGCAACAATTACAACAAAAACGACATGATCAAAGCTCATCTTACGAAGGTGAAAATCACTATATGCAGGTAGCAAGATTACAATTCCTTTAATAAAAACACCCAAACTTTGCAAACTGAATGTCACACATGCACCATGCATTAAATAGTTGTTTGTAAATTAGAAGAAAAACATGCAAAATCTACAATTGTTTTTATTGGGATTTATATTTTACTTGCTTTATGTTACACACAAGTTTGATGTTAAAGCTAAAGCAGTCCTTCATTAAAAAACTATTACAGACCAGTTAGGAGACTTTGTTGGTACCATGACTTTGGAAGTCTCTGGTTTGATATAGACAGTATCTAAAGCTGAGTCAGCTATCAGTATCTCTGCACTTTATCACCTTGACAAATATCAGCACACAGATAATGCATAATTTGTATCTTGTTTCAGGTCATGGTGCCATTTTGACGCACTGACTTTGTCTCTCACTGTGGAATTAGACCCTGAAGAACTCAACGCTACCCCAGCCAGTGATTTACTGTAAAGATCTGACTAGTGTTTTCCCAAGACAAAATGACAGTCAAGAAATTCTAAAATATTGTGGCATAAAATTATCGGTTGACAGGTCACAGCGCTCCGTTAGGTAGGCACAGAATGTTCCTTAAAGTCTACAGCCATAATCGAACCAAGCAGGCTTAAAGTGATTACAGATGTATAGAAAATGATAATTGGTCATTTTAACAGTGTACAGAAGAGATGTTCACGGAAAGGCAAATATACAGCTTTGCCTAACAAATAAATTGAACTTACAGTAAGTAGAATTTAACATGATGTTCAAACATAATTTGATCATACTTACTTGAGCACTGAGCATTGACTGCATTTAAAATATTATTCCTC